CCAGTTGCTGTTTTCTGGAAATATTTTTTTTTTTTAATGAAATTTGTTGCCCTCAAACTTATTTGAGGTTTAACAAAAAACAAAACAATTCCCCTCAACACAACTTCCCACCCCAAACAAACAAGCACAAAAACATTTTGTACTTATCACCTCTCAAAGCAGGGAGTAATACAGGAATATCGTCCATTCACTTGATAACTCCGGTTGTAGGAGACACATGGCTTCACTTCTAGTGGAACAGCTAGTGACATTGCAGCACCAGTTTGTACATGGCCTCGAGCCTGAACACTAGACTGTAAAGCAGCAGGGCAAGTCTGAAGTGGATAAGATGCTGTATGATTAGATGATAAACAGTTTTGCTGCTGTGATGTCTGATGGTGATACTGTAATGAAGACTGATGAGCTTGGAGATACTGTGGTATATGCTGTTGAGCATTAGCCTGCTGGGGAGTTGGAGCTGGGGTCTGAAATACAGTATGTTGGGCAGACTGAGCATGTTGTCCTTTTTGCTTGTTTGCCTCCTTCACATCATTATCATGCGCACTAAAACAAGTTGAGAAGACAGAATACATGAAAATAGATATTAAAATAATTTGATTCGTTTGGGTTAACTTTTAAAAGCACTCTAAAAAATGGTGCTATTATCTGAAAGTTTCTAAAGCTTTTTTTTTTTTTAAAAAATAATTTTAGCCTACCCTTTAAAATTGTCTAAGGTTTTAAAATTTGCTTCTTTAGGATACAGTTTCTTTTCAGCATTTCACTTCATTGCATAGCAATACAAAATGCAGATAAAAGCCAAGCGCAATACAAATAATACAGCAGTATCTAAAATTACCAGCGCAATAAAGTCCGCTAGTGTACTACAATAAAGTGCCGGATTACCAGACCCTGAAATTAAAACTTACTTGCTACTTTTACCTCATTTAAATTGATAACAGAGTATAGGGTTTTTCAATATATGATATCAGAGGGCTTTTAAAGATCTACACTACAGTACTTAAAGATCATTATATATATATATATATATCTATCTAGATATAGATATTGGATCCTGTTCTGGGGAAGGGAAACATTTATTTTTTTCTTCCTCTTACCTTTTTTTCTAGTCCACCCAGTACTTAAGTTAGACAGTTTAGCTCATCTGAATTCCGTTTGATTTACAACTGTCTGAAATATATTTAGACATTCTCTTTTCTCTTGCTCTTATGCTGACGTTAAGCAGGTGCCAGCTACACACTTCAGTCAGGCCTAAAATCATAAGTTTTTTGGTTCTGCCTATACCGGGCAGATCTCTGGAAGACAGTTGGGGTTCAACCCCTCACCAGTTTTCCTAAAAGATTGCTAACTTTTTTTTGTGCACTGCAAAGATGACTGAAAGGCTTCGCTACCTGCCCCCCTGAAGTGTTCCAGAGCAATACTGAGAATGCTTCTGCAACAGCACTTGCATGCTTTAGATACTATTCCTTTCATCACACACATTAGTGAAGCCAAAAGAACTCATCAGGAGTGATAATGTCACACTTATATGGAAGATGTGATTCTTCCAGATGCAGCTGTTCCTGTGCTTCTATGGAACACAACTGTGTTTAGATCTGGGAAAGAGCAAACTTCTGTAGGAGGAAAGCAGTTATGGTGGGCATAGGTTTTGATCGTAGGCTTTAGAATAAAACAACTGATTGTGCAACATCCCTTCCCCAGTAAGGTTCACTTGGCATTTGTTGGCATTTTTATCTCACAGCAGCTGTATCTCTCCACTGTAGTGGAAAAAACGAATACAGCAAAAATAGGTAAAACCTCCTGGTCATTTCCTCCCCCCAAAGTTGGCCATTCAAACAGTCTCCATGTTTGATCCATAATCTGTTTGGAGCATCCCTTGAACTTCCAAGCCATAGTCTTCAGAGTAAGTAGGAGCTCCTACCTCTTCAGTACTCTTCACTATCTCTTTTTGTTCTCTGAGCAGACTACAGAGATTGGGAATAAGGAATTTTAACAGATTCTCAAAGGATGCCAAAAGATGCTCAGTGGAAATGCAAGGCTGAGGTGTGTTTGTTGAAAGAACAGGAAAGAGATTAGATCTGATAAGGTTTTCTTTTTTCAAAAGAACTAAACAGTTATTACCTAACAATATTACCTAATACCTAAGTATTTTTAGAATAGAAAAACTGAAATTCAAAAAGAAATTTACTTTCAGTGCCAACAGCAATTAAGCATACCAACAGAATCAGAAATGGGCTTAAAAAAAGCTGCTGTTAACTTACATTAATAGTCGCTCAATACATGGCACTAGGAAATCCCAGGAGTATGCAGTAAGATGATGCAGTCGGGTAGGCCATGTTGGTGAGAGACGCAAGATAATCCTTGAAGAAGCTACACAGGCAGTAGCAACTAAAGAAGGGGCATAATTTAAAAATGCATGGTCTAGAAAGAAGGAATAAGAAAAAGATTCATTTAAGGTGGACATTGTCTGTCAAGACAACAAAGGACTCATTACCTCAAATATGTAACTCACCTTGCAGTGATACTTCCAGAAAGTAATCAGCATATTTTGCCATATATAACTTAGTCTTCTCTAAGCAAACCATTGGCCAGCCATCATGAAGATCAGTCTCATGAACAGCAATAGAAAGATAATAGTCGATGAAATGAGCAGCAGTTGGGAGGCACAAATTCCACTGAAATGTTTCTAGTAACAACAACTCCATATGAAGCAAATTCTGTTTTGTTAGTACCAAATTCATGTTAGTCATACAACCCAAGCTGTTCAACTGTTCAAGTTTGGGAACACTGTCTTCTTTTTCTTCAAATTTACCTTCAGGTGAACAGAAATAGGAAGGGGAAAAAAAAAAAGGTTCAGCACAAGCGAACTATAAAACAGATTGTATCTAATGTCTGTGTTGGTCATATTTCAATTCTACTATGTCAAACAAGCTTGAGACTTTCCTGCAGATGCAAAGCTCAAATGGAAGATGTCATCAGAGACAAAAAGGGATATGTACTATAAAGACATTATTTCAGCAGATAATGTCAAACACTGTGTAGGGTATTGTGCAGTGGCATGTTTCCTGTTGGTTTTCCCGCCCCGGCACACAGAAGCCTGTTGCCCAGAGCAGAAGTAAGCTGCATTAGGACATCACTTGGCACAGCATACGCAAGTTTTTGTCACCAAATTATTGTACGTGTCCCCATCATCAATAAAATACCACTGTGATGTGACTTGGCATACACACCACCACAGCATTTGGCTTTAATCACCCTTCCTCCCCCCACATACCCTTTTTGTTTCCAAAACTCATTAGCGTATAGCTACAGTTCTAGCCAACATGGCTGCTTTTAATGCTTGTTACAGTAGGTACGGTTTTAGATTTGATAACTAGTAAGCTGCTCCAGCCGTTCAAACAATGGATTTCAGCAGTGTGCATCTGAAAACCCACAGTGCCATATATACTGTTTCAACTTTAACACTGCTAGCAGCTTCAGCTTTCCTTGGACTTTAACTTTTCAGGCCTTTTTTTTTTAGCCTGAAGAAAAATTGTGTATATAGAAAACCCATTAATAAGAAAAACAAGGGTCACATTTCCATACAGTTTGCCATATGGTTGTGCTATTTCAATTTCATTGCAAATTCTTTCCATCTTACACTCTCCATTCAGTACCACACGGTATGTTGTAAATGCACATTTTTAGAGTTTTGCAGCACTGAACATACTGAACATTTGCTTTTTTCCAACAGTGGAGGTACTTATACAAGACTTAATCCAACACCAGTCCCAGTCTGTTAGTTTTTGTTTCCCATACTCTAGTAATTACAGAAATAAAAGCTTCAGGAGTCACATAATAATTTCTCTTATTACTTCTATAACCTTATCAGATATGTCACAATGTGATTTGTCCAACTTATTGGACTGCTGATTAAACTGCTTGTTTAAGCCACACAGGGTAAAAGTTTAAAATAGCATTCTGGTTTGTACTTCCTGAACCAATTTGTACACTGCTCCTCAGAAGACTGAGTACTCCAGGCTTTCGGAGCTCTACTTGCAGCTTGTCATGAAAGATGGCAGAGGTGATTTAAAAAAAAATTAAAAATCTTCAGAACATGAATTTCATTTGAAAATCTGGCATTAGTTCAAAGCCAATCCTTTTTCTTAAATGGATTATACTTGTTTTTGAGGCAAGGTTTTCATACTCGGCACCTCATCCTTTGCCAAGAGGATTGCTGGCTGGTGGCATCCAAAGTTTACCTTCTAAAGAATCTGAAATAACCCTTTTCTTGTTTAACTGTTCTGCTGAATAGCTGTATTGGTCGAGACAGGGGATGCAATGAAAGGAAGCAGTATACCAAAAATAGCCAACACCTCAGCACTCTGGTTGTCTAGCGAAGAAGGCCTCGAGCTACAATGATATATCTTATCTGAGAAAATGAAAATAGATTCAGAAAAACAGATCAGCAGAAACTGAACCAACAGTTAGTTCTGCTGCCAGGACCTGCTTCTCTGAATCTATTGGTTTAAGAACAAATGCCAGCAGGTATCTCAGCAAACTACATCCATATTTCTTTGGGGACATCTAAAAGGGGTCCACAAAAGTCAAAAGATGGATACACACCACAAGAATCTAGCTGAGGTCAACATAAGCAGCACTGTTCATAATAACTGTTTGTAATTAATTCTGTCTTCAGAGTACTGTGTGTTCACCAATGCATTTCACCAGTATTACATTTTGTACGTGACAATACAGGATTTATGTTAGCCTTAGCTTGCTTAAAGAACATTGCAGTTTATGAAATCTGAAGTATTCCAGAACCACACAGCACCATCGGCAGGGTGCAGTGCAGGCTGCATATGGTCTATTTAATTTCTTCCTTTATCACAGGTATACAAATTCCTCCTTTCCAGCACTGGATCTACCTATTTTGAAATGTCCTCAAAAAGACAGTCTTTCTATGCCTACAATACAGCTCTGAAAGTTCACCTTAGAATAATTTGTTTCCAAGCATAAACATTAGTTTTTAATCGCAGTTTGTTTTTTCTCTCCTCAGTTACAGCAGGTGCCAACAAAAGTCAAAACAAGAGTCTAAAGAAAGGCTCTACCAATTGGGCCAAACTGATATACACTAATCTGCTTGTCTTTTATAACCGCTGTGTTTCCCCCATCTGCTGTATCCCTTCAAGACATGCCTTGTATTTGGCAGTAGAACCTGTATTGCTCTAGTTGAAGTTTGGTGCTACATACTTACTTGCTAAAAGTAAACAGGAAAGAGCAACCACATGCAGCTGCTGTATAGATATGTCATAACGATCCATAAAGAGGTCCAACAGGTACACAGCTAGATGTCGTGCAGCAGGACAGAGTCTGAACCGATTGCTCACAATGGCAATCAGATCTGCAAAGTATCTTCTCAGATGTAACTGGGGAGATTGGCCTTTGTAGGAGGGCAGCTTCAGCTCCTAGATGGACAGCAGCGCGTAATTTTGTTAAAACCATCATTCAGTTTAAGTTGGTATCAGATTAATATAGGTGATATTCTCAAATTTATCATGGAATTTTCAAAGGATTTCTCCCCTCTTCCTTCTGTTCCCATTGCTTCAGCATCCCTTTTCACGGAACAAAATCTATTTGTTGTTACAGAAGAACTAAGAAATAATTTGGTTCTGCACAACATTGGTATAATAATTTAAAGTTTAACATCTTTCAATTGGGCAATCGGCTAGAGTGACCCTACCTTTCACTATTTCATTTTGTATTACCTCTACTGCAAAGGCTGTACCTCCCAGCAGGGAAACAGCAAGGGTATGTGAGGAGTACTTGGCTGCTTCAATGCAAAGTCCAATAGCTTAACTCAACCCCCTTCTGCTACAGCTCAATCTGAGCAATCAGACTTTGCACTGAAGTGTTTGTATATTCCAATGCTGCCAGATCTCCTGCAGGTGCTTCCAGAAGGCCACTAACAGCTAGCTGAAGGTGGCAGCCTTAGGAAGAGGAATGGGATGTGCACGTGCCAGTATTTGCTGCATGCATACGTTTAAACCCTGACTTAATCTGATCTGATTGATGTTGCACTGACACTGAGTACAGTGTGCTCTCAGGCATTTAGTTAAGCGTACATAAACCTCACACAGTCTCAGATTTGGGGAGAACCCCACAAAACAAAAGCCCTACCAACACCACAGATGAGAAAAATCTGTGGCACGATCTATTCTGAATACAAAATTTGGACTGGTAGAAGAAATGTTCCCCAGGCTCCTGCCTAGTAGCTAGTATCTTCTCTTGTGTACAGCAGAACAGCAGTGCTGTCTTCTGTTATCATGAATAAATTTATGAGTTGGATTGTGCAGCCTACCTCCTGTGTGTAAGTAGGACTTTGAGTACAATTAAATTTCCACCCGGACAGTCTGATGACATCAAGTTGAAATGGAGTCACCCAAAATCATCAAAGTTTTAAGGTCAATTCAAAGTTCTGAAACATGCTATTGAAGCGGGAAAAAAAGCACCAAACAAACCAACAACCCCCCCACTCATACCTACCAAGCTTTAGAATTCACCTTTCATAACACTAACAAAGTTTTAGTAATGGTAACTTTGGTAGCAAATAAATTACCCTGTCCTTCTCTGTGTTCCCCCCAACCCGTGTAAAAAAAAAAAAAAAAAAAAGTTGCTTTAGCAGTCACACCTTCAAGAAAGATAATCCACTCATCAAGTACTATCAGGCAGCAAAAGCACATTTTTAGTAGGTTCAGTCACTGTAAACTGATTTTCAGCTCTGGGCATAAGATGTGCTTTATTATGAAAATAGCCCTGAAGAGCAACTTTGAGTCAGCTGAGGCAACTTCAAAGCAGTATTGCCTAAATCCTCTACTATTCTTACTGCACCTAGTGTTTGTTTGGTGTTTGTTTGTTTGTTTTTGTTACAATAGCATCACAATGCTTTCTGCAGAGATTAAACTTGGA